TGGCTAGACTGAGGAATTTGAAGATTCAAATTTTGAAATTCAAATTTGAGTAAATAATGCATAAATTAGGAAATTTAAATATATATTTATTTTTACTATAAAGGGCAAAACGGGAATAAGATGAGATCAACTAGACCTAAATTGGGAAGAATATCTAACTGGACTCAATCCAAAAGTAGCTGATTTTTTTGGACCTGGATCTAAATGTCCCTTAAAAAAATAATAATAAATAATAAATAATAAAAAAAAAACCCAGAAGCCATCTTCTTCCCCGTCCCCCTTCCCTGCAACCCAAACCCCCCATACCCACACCCCCCCCCCCCCAAAACCCCAAAAAAACCCAGCTATTCAACCCAAAACCCCAAAATCAAAAGGGGGAATTAAATTCTCAAGACGAAAAAAAAGCACTTCACACAGATCCAATCAGAGCAAAACCCAGATTCAATCACACATAGAAACCCTCAAATTAAAACCCAGATTCAATCATACACAGAAACCCTCAAATTAAAACCCAGATGCAAAATCCACAAATTTAACTGAAAACCGCAGCTTAGGAGCTAGAAGATTACCTTACCATCCACGATGTGGCAGCAGTCCTTGCCATCATTGTGAGTGGAGACCTCAGTCAAAACAAAGGGAATTCTAGAGAGAGAAAGAAGAGAGAGAGAGAGAGAGAGAGAGAAGAGAAGTGGGCTTAGAAGGAGAAAGCAGCTACAAGACCCGATCCGTCTTCTTCTCCTTGTCTCCGTGGGGGCACCTCTGTGTGTCTTCTGCAACTCTCGCTTCCAAAAAACCCAGCTGGGTTTTCGGTGTGGTGGGGGTTGCGGCGGAGGTGGGGGTGGGGTGGGGTGGGGGGTTTGGGTTGCAGGGAGGGGGGTCGGGGAAGAAGATGGGTTATGTTGTGTTTTTTTTTTTTTTTTTTTTTTTAAATTAATAACTTTTAAATTATTTATTTTTAAATGAATAAAAAAAATTACCACGTGGTATAAATTTGGCAGCCACGTGACACAAATGTGGCAATCACATCAGTTTTTAAAGAATCAATAGATGAAAAATATAATAGATTTACTGTACTGAAATAAAATAGTACTTGAAGTATGAAAATGAAATATTTTAAAAATATTGTAAGGAATTGATATCGACTCTAAAAGTAAGATGGTAAAGTATAATTTACCATTTTTCTTATATAATGGCCATTTCCCAAAACTATATCCCTTTATTTCTTATATATGCTAATGCTGTAGAGGTATCAACAAATGGCAGCAACTTGAATGTTATTTCTAACGGCTGTTATGCTGATGTTGTTTTGTTCTTTCACTGTAGGTTTCTTTCAATATGAATGGGCTCAAATCCGTAAGTGGTCCCTCTCCAAAACAAAAATGAAGAAAATAAATCTCTCCTTTTTGTTTCTCTTTAAAATTCAATATTTACAACTTAGTATACACAAGCCTCTAACTTCTGTAGTTAGATTTCAACATGTATCCTCTTTCAACAAATTATAAGTAAGAGTAAATTATGTCATATAACAAACTCATACCTCATTTTTTTTAATATTGCAACATCATATATTACTTTATAAATTCGTTGCAATATTAGACTTCCGTATTTTTATCATTTATTTGTCTATTAAATGATGACCTTGCAATTGCTAGCACTCCCTCGCCTAATTGAATTGAGAAATGAAGTTTTAACAAAATAATTTCGGTATTGTTCACTTTTAACGAAAAATCACATTTTTACCTTTTCTGGTACTATTTACTTACACCTTTATTTGTTCTTTTTCATTAAAACTAAAGTTGTTTTGAACTTTTCGTTAATTTTCCTATTGAGGAGAAATTAAATGGTACTAAATTAAGGTTTTTGAGTAGTCTCGCACACTAGCGTGCAGCAGTGTGCGAAGGATTTTGAAATTCTTAATTTATTAATATTTAATTAATTTTTCAATTCAGATGGGCGAGAGAGTGGATCTCGCGTTTGTTACGTAAGCAGTTAACAGACAAATTGATGGATAAGGAGACAGAGGTCTAACGTTGTAATGGATACGTAGGTTAATGTATGATATTGCAATGTTCAAAAAAATGAAGTAAAAATTTGTTGTGTGGCCCAAGATTGGGGTTGTGAATAATTACCCTATAAGTAAACATGGCAGGCAGTAAACTAAATCATCTTTGAAATTTGGCATTCACTTGTTGGTTATATGCCAAAAGCGTAATTGTAGGACTCGCTGAAAATGTATGTTTCAAAACTTGATGATGTAACACTAACGAAGACTCGTTGTGGTATTGCTAATGTTGTGTATTTTTTTCATTTCTGTCACTGTAGGTTATACTCTGAATGGAACCGCGGATCTTGGTAAGGACTGTCTCTTCAAATGCTAGCTTCTGTCTATGTACTCCAGTGTTTTGCCGTTGCTGAATCTTGTTTGGTATTTATTGCAGGATACCTTCCTCGATGGTTTCCATTCCATTCCATCGGTAAGACGGAGCTTGTATTTCTTGCATATATGTAGTCAAGTCTTTGATTTTTATTCACTTTTCAAACATATAGCCGTTGATATAATTGGCTGTTACTCTTTGCTATTTTGTTGCAGTGCATGGATGGGAAATACTGATGGGCATCGGTAAGAAAAGCTTGAATTATTAGTTGTATATGTGCGTGTGTAGATTCCAACTTGTCATGAATCAAACAAAGTAAAATGTAATTTAGAAACAAAAGAAGTTGAAGAAAGTTGAAGGTAGTGTGGATCTAACATGTAAGTTTCTTTTCTTATGATTCTTTCGGTGATATATTTTTTTGCAGGTTTATTTTTTCCAGCAAGACTACTGTTTGGCATTCCAATTGTGGCTGTATTTTTAGTCTATAAATGGCGAAGAAGACATTTGTCAATGTATAGTACAATAGAAGACTTTCTACAGCGCGATAAGAATTTCATGCCTATAAGGTACTCTTACTCGGACATCAAGCAGATGACTCGCAAGTTTAAGGATAAGTTGGGCGAAGGCGGCTATGGCTCAGTATTTAAAGGAAAGTTACGCAGCGGCCGTTTTGTAGCAATTAAAGTTCTGGGCAAGTCCAAAGCTAATGGCCAAGATTTCATTAGTGAAATAGCTACCATTGGAAGGATTCGCCATGCCAATGTGGTGCGACTCGTTGGTTATTGTGTTGAGGGCTCAAAGCGTGCTCTAGTATATGAGTTCATGGCTAATGGCTCTCTTGATAAATACATTTATTCCAAAGAAGGAAGTGTGCCTTTAACTATCGACAAAATGTATGAGATTTCTCTTGGAGTGGCTCAAGGGATTGAGTATCTACATCAAGGTTGCGCGATGCAAATTCTCCATTTCGATATCAAGCCTCATAATATTCTTCTTGATGAGAACTTCAAAGCAAAGGTTTCTGACTTTGGGCTAGCAAAGTTGTATCCCGTCGATAATAGCATTGTCACGTTGACGGCAGCGAGAGGTACAATGGGATATATTGCTCCTGAATTGTTCTACAAAAATATTGGAGGCGTCTCACACAAGGCCGATGTCTATAGTTTCGGAATGTTGTTGATGGAAATGGCAAGCAGAAGGAAGAATTTGAATACAACGGTAGAGCATTCAAGCCAAATCTACTTCCCACTGTGGGTATACGATCAGTATAATGTGGGAAATGACTTGGAGATGGACAATGTAACAGAGGAGGAAAAGAATGTAATCAGAAAGATGGTTATAACCGCCTTGTGGTGCATTCAAATGAAGCCAACTGATCGCCCTTCGATGCACAAAGTCATCGAGATGCTTGGAGGAGATGTTGAATGTCTGCAAATGCCCCCCAGGCCTTCTCTATGCCCACAAGAGACTCCTGTGGCTGTGGGTGACATTCAAGACCCAATATGTTCAAACGTAGAGATAACATGTTCTTTGGCAGCTAGGTGATGATCAAGTTCTTAGTTATAAAAGTGAAATAATGTATCATAAATTCTTACTTTAAAAACAGATTTAATTAGTGAAGAACTATTATTCGAGGTTTATATTGAAGAAACTGGTCCTCTATAGTAGACTGACTAGCTTATCAAGCAGTCAAAGGTTTTCTTATTTTTGTTCTTCTCATCTGCCCATTTGCACGGATTGCCATGGCCTACCTTTCACGAGCTTAATGAGCTTCTTCATCAGACTTGTCCATCTATTTTTTGGCTTCGCCCCAGTAGACAAGGCATTGATGTCTTGATGAAGAAGAATATGATATTTGGATTTCACCCCAAACCTCTTATGATATACATTGTAATTGAACCGAGTTTGATCAATATGAAACAAAATGAACTAATTATGGAGTCACATTTGGACAAAATTTGGTGCTTGACATGAAGGTCACCTATCCATGTGGTATACACACACAAATCCCCCTTATGCTTTTTTAAACCGTAATAAAAGTGTCATGTGTCACAAGTCAAACACAAGAATATCTATCAATTAGAAAGTGAGACTTTTGTCTTAATTGTGTGAAAATTTCATTATTCCAACTGTGAACCTGCAACTCTTGTTCCGTCAAAAGACTTAAAAAGTCATATAATTTTTTATTATTCTAAAGTCTCGCGTCATTGAATTCCCCACCATTTAAAAATGATATATTAATTGCATTGAACAACATTATCGATCATACAATGCCAATACAATCAATCGTCCCCATCTCTAATTGAAAATTAGTCAAATTGCACGAATCATTCATGCGGTGCAATCAATTGTCCCCATCTCTAATTGAAAATTAGTCAAATTACACGAATCATTCATATGGTGCGGGTCATATGTCTGTGTCACCCGTGCACACGAGTAACATTGACATATAACCCACTTCGCGCACTAATGATTTGTGCAATTTAGCCTCCATCAACATTTGCAACCACACAAACAACCATCGTTGTTGAGCTGATTTGGAATCACTTACAAGTGGGGTGTTGTTTGTATCCTTTCTCGTCACTTTTAGTAACTTGTAGCTAAAAACAAGGCTCATGACATGAGATTTGGAATGGAAATATCTTATAAATTACCATCATCGGTTACAAGTTTGTAACCATAGTTTTATCAGTTAATACACCAAACCTGTAGAATGCTAGAAAACTTTTTTTTATTATTCCTATATGTAGATTTGCACACACAGACGAGTCGAAGTTTTTATTAATCTCTCTCCGAAGCAGCAAGCCCCTCGTCCGTCCCCTGAAACCGGTGTGCTGTCTATTTGAGTTGATCTAAACATCAGGAGCGGCTTCTCCTGCGTTTTCAAGTGTATTAAATTTAGATGTTGGATCAGGCCAACAGAAAAAACAAAGCAAGCGCTACACCATGTGAGACATATCGTCTCATAATAGCAAGCGTATTGTACAGATCATAGCAGCAGGCATATGATATAGATTATATACATGGTAATCTATCCGAAAACAAAATGCAGCGACAATTGATAGACGCGTAGGACAACAGAATATGCTTTAATTTTTTTTTCCATGTCTTGGAGTGTAAGAAATTCAGTAAATGTGAGTGTAGGGTCAGTTTGAATCAGCTTTGATTGATAAGAAATGTGTAAACAAAGAGCTTCTACCAATGTTGATCCTTTGGCTAGAAGAAGTTACATTATTTCATTAATTGGATTTCAGCTTCTCGTATAAGCTCCAGTTTTAGAGAGAAGGCTTGAATTATAGCTTATCCGAGATGCCTGATTTTGGCTTATGCAGGGGTCTTATTCAAAGGGTGCAACCAAGCAACACAACATAATATGAGAAAAAAAAACTTCTGAGTGTACAAGAGGACGTGCCAAAGAGTGCATTGTATTACTCATTTTTCTTTCTATAAAATGAAATATATGCGAGTTTGTGCAAACGTGTGCTCATGCTTGAGTGTGTAGCAATGCACGAAAAGAGAACCATGTGGTCTTACAACTCTTACCATGCATTCTCTTGACAAATCGTTCGAACTCCGTTAAGTTATGCTTCTCAATGAGAACTGGGCTTAATCTGAGATAGGTAAATGCCGATAAATGCCTGCCATCTGGATCGTTCCAGGGCTTAGCATTTTCTAATATCTTGTTGTAGCCTTCTCTGTCAAAGCAAGTAAGAGTATTCTCACTAGCAACTGGAATGTTAGCATCCCATGCAGCATTCAGCACCTGAAAAAAATTGAAATCCAAAAACATTATCAAAAAGAAAACAAAAAAGCTACACAGATAATATTTTGGTACATAATCCAAGGGAAACTGACATTTCACATGTAACAACAGACCGCCCCTCTTGATCCAGTGTTACTTGCCCATGTTAGTTAGAAAAATTTTAAAGTATTTGTTTGACAGATGGAGAAGAATGAATTTGAGCAGATCCATTATTCACAAAATAGCAACTGACTCGGACACTAAATGTGGCCACCTTCCCAAGAATAAAAGAAGTATGCATATTCAGCTCAAAATTCTAATTGATGCTTTTTAAGTTTCTACTCATCCAGCTCACTTTTCCGAATGGTGGTGATTTACATATGCTTAAAATCCAGGAAGTAATTACACATGAGTTTCTGTGCTTACCTGCCAAACTAATCCCTCGGGGTCTGCCAGTGCTTCCGGAAAGCCCTCATGTTGGTCTAATGTGCGCATTTCAACACATGTGAAATTCAGAGCAGCCTCATGCTTTTTTAACATTGCAGAAATTGGCGCATACCCATCACGATTGCAGGAGTTGTAAAATCCAGCGGTTAATTCAGCAGGATGGCTGGCAGTCTTGTACCACCAGTGGATACCTGATACCTGCTCATAAATCAAATAAAGAAACTCCACAAAAAAAAAAAAAAAAAAAAAAAAAAAAAAAAAAAAGGGAACCGTGTAGAACTAATGTCCAATAAAGTGACTCACCTTTGTAGCAATGCGTGTGCCTTCAAAAGCTAAATTGGCCAGAGCAAGTACACGGTCACCATGATCAATCAAAACACGGGAGTACCAATTAAGAAAGAATCCGCCATAGTAGCTATCATAATCACCTCCGTCACGGAAAAACCCTGTCTCATGTGGTTGGGAATTATAAGAGCCTGCATTGTCTGGTACTCTGGCCCAGAAGGAGTGGCCCCTTGCTTCTGCAGCCTGCGTCAGATTCTTCATCAAGTATCGATCATAACACTGCACCGAACCAGGTTGAATCCGAGAACTATTTCAAAGTTCAGATAGAAGTAATAAATCAAATGAGCTACTGGCTGAAGGTCATAATCACAGATGAACGAAGGGCTACTAAATTAACATTTAGAAATAACTGTCAACTCGTAGCTATCATGCATGCCACTAATGAAAGGAATGATCACCATTTATTAAGGTACCTGGAATTCACCAATACCAGGATATTTCCAACCATGCTGTTCAGGATAAGAAGGATACCGTAGCTCTCCACACGGACCTAATCCAACTTCAATTTCTGATATTATTCCTTCCTCAAAAAATTCATCAAATTCAACTCTGAAACTCCTCATGTAGTCGAAGTAAACCTGCATTGGTTCCATTATAAAATAACAGAATAGAAACTCTCACCATCAAACAGTGACATTGCCTCCACACTCGTGTAATGACATCACGACCTACAGCAATACAGAGTAAGACAATGCACACCATATCCAAAATGCATATTCAAAGGAAAAATGTAAAGCAGAAAATCTTTCTCTTATTTAAAATGAGTTTTAACTGATAGTCTCGCAAACTAATTTACAAAAGGAAAAGCTATCAGTGCATTACTTTTCCGCAATCTACTCAAGACTTTTATGCCCCTTTACCTAAGACAATAGCCAGTCAGCCACTTAGTATTACGATCAAGTGGTATTCCTCTTCACTTGTAAGTGAGAGGTCTTAGGTTCGATTCTCGCCAAAGGCGAGTTTGAACCATATAATTGCTAGCCCATTGTGAGGCTAACTTGTTAATCATGATCACACATTCAAACATGATTTCACTTAATCGACAGTCTCGATTAACAATCTAACAATTTGACAATAGAATGATTAAAAACCAAGTACAAATATACAAGTAACACGTACGCAGCTAGACAGTCTTTTATAATACGAGACGATTAATTAGGATCCTATTTTCGCATAAGATTTCGCTTTGATCAATGTTAAGGATTGAAAGTTTACAAATTGACAATGAACAATAACAAATTTCAAAAGCCAACATAGAGTAGAAAAGAGTGCCTCAGAAACTCACGGGTAACATGACATATACAGGAACATATGGCGTGCCAGTAAAATCACGCTCCTCAAACTTTTCCAGCGAAGAGTCTTCAACCTATCATCAAACCAGAAAAAGGTTCCAAATTTCAAATTATGACAGCACAAACACAAGTCCTCCAAACAAAGCACCCCAAAATTAAATTCTGAAAAACAAAACTGAATTCAAAACAGAGGAGTTGCTGCTACATCCTCACCTTGTTGTGGTCAACATTTTCACCCGCTACAGTCCCCTCAGCACTGTCTCTCACCACGGCAAAACTCCTAGACGGATCACTCCCCAATAGTCTCAAAGGACACAAATTGAGCTCCGGCGAGCCCCAAAGACCCTGAGAGAGCTTCAGCGAAGCTATCGCGGTCTTCCCGCTGGACGACAACGAAGCCATTGTCGTGGCTTTGCAACAAGCACCCGGCGGGCGTGGCAGCCTCAGTTTATGGGATACTTGAGGAGATGAGAACTGTGCCATTCTGAATCTTTCGGAATCAGCAGCCACTGATGTTTTACTCTGCAGGGAACTTTCTAGGGGAAGTGGAGTGGCGGTATAAGGCGATTTTCCTTTTCATTTTCCAGAAAGTTTTCTCGGGAACCAAACAGGTGGAGTGGCGGGGAGAGAACCCGTGATGATGTTTGCAGATATAAGATACAGTTATTTTAGCTCAACGAAACGAAAACGGTTTTTCGTGGGTATGAGCGGTGACGGATGGACTGTCACAGACCATCATCCACCGTACACGTCATTGATTGGGCAGGCAATTCCTTTTATTTTTTATTTTTAAACTAAATCACTGAAAAATGCGATCACAATCACAACCAATTTCAATATAATTGAATAAGAAAGCTTTTCTTGCCAAGGAAGGTAAAGTTATCCCAGACATTAAAATTTAAAATCAAAGCTAGTGATTGCATCCGTCAAGAAATTTGTCTTCCTGTAAACGTGTTTCCAAGAAATGGAGCCAAAATAAGTTCCCAACCACTTGATGTCTTCTACAATGTTCCTCGGTTGCCAAGGAGTTGAGCAGAAGCTTGTAATAGCACCAATGACTAGTTTAGAATCACCTTCCACACAAACGTTCTTGAAATCCTTTACTTTAGCCAACCAACGAGTATCCCTCAATGCTAAAGCCACAGCTGTAGAACTGTTATTCTCTACCAGGTTTCTTGCTCTAGCAACAATAGGCATATCAACTTTATGTCTGATATCAAATCCAATTGACGCCTTGGAGCTAATAACCGAACCATCAAAATTGATCTTCAGCTGCAATCTACGTGGAGGTTCCCATCTAAAATTTTAATTTCGTTAGCAGCTAGACTTGGGTGATTTCGGACGGATCAAATTGAAACAAGAATTCCGATTTCCAATCCAAAATGTCTTGGTGTCAAACAATCTTTCTAGTTTGGGAATACTTGGAATATTTGAAGTTTCGAAAAATTGTCAATTTCGATGTTATCTTAGTTGATAGCGCGTTGTTTGATTTAATAACGAATTGATATTTCATGCTTAATTTTAATTTTAATTTTAAATTGAAATTGAAAGCACACACTTTTATGACTAACGATTTTGAAAGATAAAATTTAAAGAAAACTAATGAAAAGTGCTTCAAAACTTTTGAGTTTTAACAATAAGGACAAAATAAAGGATAAAATAAATAGTACATGAATTGACTTTTTAATGTAAAAATATGATTTTTCGTTAAAGTAAACAGTACCGGAAACTTTTCGTTAAGATTCCCTAAAATTTAGGCTTCGTAAAATTCAAATGAATAATTCTAGGCCCAATAGGAGATCACAAAAGCTTGCTTTATAGTCCATTGCAAGTAACTCAAACCAAATGAGTTTGGAATTTGATGATCTAAAATTGAATCAAAACTTGTCGAGTCATCTAAATGGCCCTTCCTACTATCTTCTTTTTGAAGTTAGTGTCACCCTATATAATCAAAATTAAAATTAAAAAAAATAAAATATTAAAAAGAACTATAGAAGCTTACAGGTGTGGGCCTTGCGCAAGGCAATTATTAAGTTCCATTGTATGTGGTGTTGAAGAAAATTTTCATCTGCAGAACAGACGGTTCGTACACCAAGTGCAATAATATAATTAATTTGAGACTTGAAAAAATATTTCTAATCAATTATATTATAACACTTAGTGTACTAGACTGTGTTTTATGTACACTGGAATATTTCTCATAATGTTGATGCAAAAACTCGACGTCACGGAGAAGTTTCAAATTAGAATAACGATATGCACATTGAAGCCATAAGAGCAACTCCACCCCATAAGGCAATAATTTCCCAATTAATTGGGCAATAGGAAGTTATTGCATTTGTGAATAGTAATTGCCTGAGTGCATCTTCATCCTATAAGAGCAAGTCCACTCCATCCCAATTTCTTGGGCAATAGATAATCATTGCTTTTCTAAAATAGTAATTGCCTGAGTGCATTTCTACCCTATAAGAGCAAGTCCACTAGATCCCAATTTTCTTGGACAATTGGGCAATTTAAATCCCCAAAATTAGAAAAAAACTCTCTCCACCCGGAAAGGGATCCTCTCCAGATCTCTTTCCACCTAATCCGGACCGTTGAAATTTGATCCAACGGCTACATTTATTATAGCTATTAAAAGAGTTCCCTATTTGTAGTCGTTGGATCAAATTTCAACGGTCAGGATCTCGAACTTGATGGATTAGATGGAAATGGATCCGCCTCCACCCCAACCAAATTAGTCAGGCTACTCGTGGGCCCTACAATACCCGATTGAGCAATCGGACGAGGATAGCCTCACCGAAGTTAGCTAAGGATCATTTAATAACCAATGTAATAGAGATGGCTCTTTTACTTTTGTAACTCATCCCACATTAATAACTTTGTCATTCGCATTCAATCTCTTCATCTAACCTGAAGTTAGCTAAGGGTGATTTAATAACTATTACGTTTACAGTTTTTATTTTCATTTTTTGAAAATTAAAAATTAAAATCTTATTTGGTAATTATTTTCATGTTTTATTTTTCAAATGAAAATTGAAAACTTAGAACTACTATCTTGAGTTTTCAAAATTTGACCTTGAGTTTTCACTTTTTTGTATGAAAACTAAAAGTAGTTAACCAAGCAACATTTCAATTTTCAAAAAAGTGAAAATAAAAACTGAAAACAAAATGGTTATCAAATAGCCCCAAGTGAAAAAACAGTATGTTCTCTCATTTGCACTAAAGTACGAATCTCTCTTCTTGTTATTTAGATTAATTTAATGTAGAAAATCCGTTTATTTTAAGAAAAAAATTACACTATGTTTTGGTCAAGATAATTTTAAATTTCATGAAACATAAGCTAGAATAGTTAGAACTGCACTACAACAACAAGATAAAAGAACTTTAAAATGTCAAGATGCAAGCGGTCTTTCAAATGATTCTTAGAAGAATATCATTTTGAAAGTCCTTTATTTAGTGATTTTATAATGCATTTGTAGCGTTTCAGTAGTTGTTTTGTATTACTTGAATAGTTCATTAGTCGTGTTCTTGTTTGTTGAGTCTATATATCTTCGTGTTTGAAATATTTATTAGATACCTTAACTAACAACCACAATACCCATTAATCTCCCACATTGCATAAGGCACCATAACGAACATGAGTTCTTTTTATGTACAATTTGCCATTATTAAGTACAAAGGGCGCAATTTACATTAAGTCACATAATTATATAACATTAAAAAGGTATCGAGCTAACCATCAATATGAGATGAACTTGAGACGTTCTACTCATAATAATTAAGTGACCATCGTTTACGTGTAGGGGTGGACTCCTTACGCAAAACATCTGCTAAGATCGAGGTTGGATTATTCCAACATGTCCCCAAGATCCGTTTTCTCATATTTCAAACCCCACAAATTTACAAATATTCGCATAACAAATGAGCAAATATAAAAGTATAAATTTTGCATTGAAGTTCTTTTAATCAAAATTTTCATAAATTTTGGTTTTATTTATTTTCTTAAATTCGGCTACTGTGTTTTTTAATTTATTATTTATGTTGGACCGGAGGTGGGTTCAAATTATAAAAATATTTGACCTAAATCAGTTGTTAATGCTATATTAAACTACTAACTAGGTAATACTTGAGTATTGAGTGCTCTTCTATATGTGTATAAGTAATGTTAGGTAAATCATTTACTTAAAGCATATTTTGTAAACCACGTAACATTGATGTTGATGATTGAAGTATTACTTAAGTGCTTGTTGAACGAGTTTAATTTCTGTTGGTGACATGTGGTCTAAATAAATGATCTCTTTATTATTTTCTTGTGTATAATATTCCTTCAACAAAAATTCAAAATATAGGACATAGGGTCGTTATTAATATTCTTATTATTTTGCTAATAAAAGTAGCAAGACAGAATCCTTCTATACGAGCCCGTGACTGGGTTTTGATTTTTATTGTTGTTGTCATATGTTTTCTTCCTCTGAACAGGGAACTAGAAAACAAAGGGACAAGAGTATATAGCAAATGAAAAGCAGAACAGCAGAGGATGAAGACGAAGACAAAGACGAAAAGGTCCAAGAAAGGCACCATGCATGCAAGGCAAAATTCCAAACCCCTTTCAGCTCGGGACTGATTCATTTGAGGCACATCCTGTTTATCAAATTCCCTGATGAAGACGAAGACAAAGACGAAAAGGTCCAAGAAAGGCACCATGCATGCAAGGCAAAATTCCAAACCCCTTTCAGCTCGGGACTGATTCATTTGAGGCACATCCTGTTTATCAAATTCCCTCAAGTAGTCAAAGCTCAAGACAAAGACACATGTGACATGTGGGACGGTGTGAAAACGAAGAAAAAGATAATCAGGGTACACCGTCATTTGGATTATGTATCTATCGCCATGTGATTGCTATTCTTTTGTGAGTTGGCTACTAATATTACTTAGAAAATACTGCTGATTAAGGAGAAAGAGGGTTTGAAGCCGAAACTAAATGAGTTAAAAAAGAAAGTCATATTTATCCAGACAATCAACAACTGTGAACGAGAGACTTTTCAATGTGATCGGCGGAATGGTACACCACGTGTCATTATACAAATTGTAGGATATATGTGTTAAAAAGTTAATAACTTAAATAGTAAAATTTTCCACTATTTATATAAAAACATGTGATCTACACTCGTATTCCGGTCACAATGAAAAATTAGAGTTTAGAGTCACTTTTATCGGGACAATCAACAACATTCAACAATATTATTCTCCTTCGAACAATGAATAAAGATGCGGTAGAAGTTTTTTAGCGCTAATAAGAAATCTACACATGCAAAAATACATGAGTGAATTAGTTATAAAACATGGAAGTAAACGGTCTCACCGAAAAGGATCCTCTCTATTTATATGTCATGCACATGTATTTAGCTTTATAAGTTAAAAGTAAAAAAAATGTTGTATATTAAAATGTAATCTAAACTAAACTACAAGAGAGTCGAATTGGGGTATGTCCAAGTTTGCAAAGCTTAAGAATATGAAAAATTCAACTTGCCGCTATTTTTTTTTCTCTACGCTCGAGTACGAATTCCCTCTCTGTAATTGTATATGTATTAAATTTTGACAAGAACCACGACATATCATGCAACC